ATTTACTGCATGCCATGTATAAAAAGAGAGGCTGAATGTAGTGCGTAAGAAACTCTATACCACTTGAAAACAAGTTTCTTTTAACCACTGAAGAGGTCCACTATCTAAAACGACACCCATTCACAAGTGGTCTTGAGAATTGAAGAACTGCAACATATTGCTATAAACAAGCAATTCATAATGATTCGCAACATCATTTGAAGTATCACTTATTCATAAGCAGATTTTTCAAGAAAAGATCTGAAATCTGAATCTGAAATGCTACTTTATTTACAGAAAAAAACCATCCTGTAAATAGATAATTTTTGACCAATACAACTACATCTTCAAAAAAGGAGTTTAAAACAGAAAAGTATGGCATTAGCTACAACCACAGCAAGTAGACTATGAGACAAATTTACTCTAAATCATAAAAGAAAATCGTGCAATACCAATAGTTCATAGAACGAGCGGAGCACTGCGAGGAAAGAGTCGATAAAAGGCGCTAATAGTACAAACCACACAAACAAAAGTTACTACCAGTTAAAAGAGAGGAACTAGCGTAGATGAACACGATGCGGATAGACTTCAAGATGAATCAGCCTGAAACAAAAACCTTTGTATCAAAAGAAAACGATTTTGTGATTGTCAAGATGAAGATAAGTAAACAAAAATAGGTAGAAGTTTAATAAATGACCAAAATAGGTTGAAAAGAGTATGCTTGAATGTTTGGTGTCATTTTGCTTGCGGAATTCTCCCTTAAATTACCTTGATTATTCTACGGTCCCTGTCTTTCCAAATACTTAACTTCCCTTCAACCTAACTTTTATAGGGCGCTTCATAACTCTTGAGCGCTATCATTCCGTTCACTTGGACCGCGCCTCTGTTCGGTTGGGTTGTGCTGCGATTGGTTCGGCCGTTTGGGCGGCGTTAGTTGTGAGCGAAGCGAATGACGGATTCAAGTATGGCCAAGGTTTCCAGAAAAACTTATATTAACGCGGCAATTTTGGCAATTTTTCAGAGGTAAGTTCAAAGATATATAATTACTTGAAATCAAAACAGTAAACATGCCAAATAACCAATCCTGAAATAGAAATCGCATTTCCGGCCACATGATAATCACGTTACCTGCTTACGTTATAGTCAAACCAATCGAAGCAGTTCCAAAAAATCAAAAGATTTTTTTAAAAATCATGAGCAGTGCTAATTTCCTCGAAACTTCCGCAAACAAATTTTGGATTAGAAAACTTGCAAAGTGGTCCCCAAAAAATGACTGAATGCGAACAACTTGCACAAAACTTAGTAGTGGTAAACAGAAAGGTCAATATGAGTCAGAAACACTTCGAAAATGCAAAAAAGCATATTTACCTAATGAAAGAACCATCAAAAATAAGTAACGGTACGTCACGACTGCTAGACTGTTAAACGAACAAAAAGAATTAGATTAAAAAGACTTCGAAACACACAATTCTGAAAACTTATGCCAAGCTCGGTCATGCCGTGATGCTTAGGGTTCTATCCTATCAAATACCTCAAAAACACTAACATACTCAATCTCTCTTCTCAGCAGTTCCATCAAAACCAGACAAGACTCGCCTTTATTCGTCATTCGCTCGAAAGAGGCCTCCGAAACCTCGGCGACGCTTTGGAATACTTGACTCTGCCTCTTCTTCACTGATTTCGCGGATTACCGGACCAGAATAGCCATTAGTATGTCGACTAGTTCCAGGGTTCGACCTGCCACGTGACCTAAGCAAATTCAATGCAAACTAAACTTTCTTGAAAGACTAAAATCCCTCACCTATTATCCTCCTCTTCCTCGTCATCCGGCAATGTTATGATTGGCGCATTATCTCCTCTAGAGCGTCCAGCAGTATCTGCGGAACGATGACGATGAGATGATGACGCACCATCATCTAACGCACGTCTGCCATTGCTAAATTAACTCAAAGCATGGCAGTCTGCTTTTCCCAGAATTACCTTGAACCAAAAAATTTACCTTGGCGTATACCCCATGTTTGCTCTCGCTCTGGACTGGAATTCGCGATCGAAATCTTCTG